TCATAGAGGTTGCTGAGTAAAGCCTGCCCCTGTCTTCCCGCCTTTGGTATTCCAAGGAGGTCTCCCATCCAAGTATTTGCCAGAGTCGACCCTGCTTAGCTTCCGAGATCTGACGAGATCGGGCTTGCCTGGGCTATCCAGGTCAGGGCTGTAGCCTTGCTAGTGTTAGATATTTCAGTGTAAAAGCAGAGATAATAAATGCTGCAGGACACTTGTATTAGCTTTGAAACAAGAAACTTTACTTCACTAATGAGGGAAGGGTCACTGGGAAATACTAGAAACAAAACAAAGGATTCACATCCTTTCTGACTTCACTGACCTACATCTTGACTTTCTAAAGTCTAAACCACTTGTGCTAGCCCCAGGCAAGATTTAGAACAAAGCAATAAACTTTCTAATTCTCCACCCTGGGACATCTTCTGATCTATTGATTAACCAACTGGAGAATCCCAAACCTAACTAATTATGCATTTTAAAACCTTGCTCTGGTTGGAAATAGGCGCACGGTCTGCTATTGCATCTCTAACTAAATAGCTAGGATGTCAGCATGCATAAACAAACATGTAAATTCTTCCATGACTTCAGGGAGAGAACTTGCAAACTCCAACAGCTACTTTCTTGACTCATCCAGAACACCTGTTAGATTCTTGCTGGCATATTTTTCAAGGGCTTTATGGCCCGATTTCCTTTAAAAACAGAGGCTTTCCTCTGATAGGATATTTGAGATCCACTGTGGTATAGCGGTAACAGTGTCATACTGGGACTGGGGACATCCCGAGTTCAAATAGCCACTGTGACATGAAACTCTGTGGGTAATCTTGGCCCCATAAGATTCTCTCAGCCTGAAAGTTGTTGGGACAAAATAGAATGGAGACTCCATATGCCACCATGGGACAGGGTTGCCAGGTCCTCCTTGGCTACTGGTGGGATGGTGGTGCAGGGGTACGGTTGCCAGATCCAGGTTGAGAAACTCCTGGGGGTTTGGGGGACCTCAGTGGGGCGCAGTGCCACAGAGTCCACCCTCCAACACATCCATTTTCTCCAGGGTAACTGATCTCTGTAGTCTGGAGATGAGCTGTAATTCTGGGGGATCCCCAGGTCCCACCTGGAGGCTGGCATCCTCATCAAGGGTTCTGTGGAGGACGAACAGGAAACTGATTTGAGTCCACCCTCCAACACATCCATTTTCTCCAGGGTAACTGATCTCTGTAGTCTGGAGATGAGCTGTAATTCTGGGGGATCCCCAGGTCCCACCTGGAGGCTGGCATCCTCATCAAGGGTTCTGTGGAGGACGAACAGGAAACTGATTTGAATGATATCAAGGCAAAATCCTTGTGAATGCAATTTCCACCAGCACGGCTCCAAAGAAACACAGGCCCCTGCCACATGGCAGGGAAAAGACGGGGCGAAGCGCGGCTTTTAAAAGCCGCGCCAAAAAAGAAACGCCGCGGCAGGATCCCACGGATCCCGGTAGCCGCGCTCCGTTGCTCCCCGGCACAATCAGATGCTGGGGAGGAAGATACTAGTCGGAGGGGGAGGCTGCCGAACTGCGCATGCTCGAGCATGCGCAGTACGGCAGGGGGCCAGGGATGCGACGGCGGCAAGACGCGCCGCCGATCCCACTGCCAGGATGAAGCGCCTCAACCGGATGAACCACCGAAGTAGGTGGTTCATCTTTGACGCGCTTCATCGGGGGAAGGGCCGGGTTGGAGGCGGGAGCGCAACGCCAGGCAGATGTTGCCGTGGGATCGCACCCGTCTGATGCGCCTCCAATCCGGCCTGCTCCCGGCCCAAACTGCCTCGTATGAACGGGGCCAGAGTTACACAGAGCCACTTGTCAATTTCAAACTAATAAAGAGTTCTGTATTTCGTGAACTCCATTCTAGATATAATAGATGAGAGATAGGGGTAGGATCTATTCAAACTACCTGGATGGATGCAGATGGAGGTTGCATCCATAGTGCAAAGATGGAGAGCAAACATGCTCCTCCTTTTGTGTATGTGTGAGAGTAGTATGAATGGAAGGAAGCAATTCCCCGAGTATTACTCTACACATCAAAGGGACAGAGGCAGAAGAGTAAACTGGAAGGAAACTTACTTTATTAGTTGAATGAATGAATGATGTTTATTTGCGGTCAAAGACCATTTATCAAAATAATACATGTTCATTAAATACAAGTAAATTAGCTTTCAACTCTAAAAATAAACATATAACCTTAAAATCATTGAAATGTTAAAAGGAGAAAAGTTTAACAGTCCATTATATCAAAATAATTATAAGATGTTTAAAACTAAACTACTTATGAGTCATGCAAAGGTAAATGAGGATTCTACTTGATCTACTTCTTATTGTGAAGTTTTACCAGTTGCAAGCAGAATTTTGCTATTTGTCTGGAGATCTGCTGATTTTCCTCTATTAAAAGTCTCTCTAGATCAGCACTATCTGCATCAAGTGCTGGTCTATCCAAGGGGGGGCAATAAGCTTATCCCTATAAACCTGATGAAAAGGACAGCGAAAGAACAT